AACTTGAAAGCGGAATATAAAATAGTGCCCCTGATAAATATTTAGTTGTTGCAAAGATTTGACTCTCCAGATTTTATCGGAATATAAAATAGTGCCCCTGATAAATATTTAGTTGTTGCAAAGATTTGACTCTCCAGGTTTTATCGGAATATAAAATAGTGCCCCTGATAAATATTTAGTTGTTGCAAAGATTTGACTCTCCAAATTTTATCTGACAGAGCAGCAGTTTAGCATAACATTTAAAAGAAAAACGATTTTATATATTAGTACAAGTCAAAACAAATGTTCTCAGTCAGCAACTGAAGATTAAAACCATCACCACTCGAGCTTAATATTACAGAATTATGTTCTGAAAAGCAAGCACACCTTTTACGTTAGAACTTTAATTACTTTATTTATTAGTAAATAATTTTGTTTCTGTATTGAATATTGAGTTTGAATTGTACTAAAAAGTTGAAAATCAAATTCCTGTTACTTTTCTTCATCTTATTTCAACAAGTGTTCATATTGAATTTAAACTATCTTTTAATTGTTAACAAATCATATTTTATGTCTCCCAGTTAACTCAACATAACCATTGTGCCAAAACAAATGTATGGTTGTGGAATATCAAGTGTCCAAGTAAAAAGTTGTAATGTACAGATACATGAAATGCAATAATGTAACAATTTCAGCTGTTGTATGTCAGATCAGTTGATGATCACAGTAGGTAGTACGTAGAATTTTGGTAGACAAATAGCTAGAACAATGGAAAACAAGTCTGACAAACACTGCGTTAGACAATTTTTAATTGCACCATTTATATCAAAGGTGTTCTAACACATGATATCATAAAGTCTAATATAGAATATATGTGAAAACTGGTTTTCAGATCAACGTCTACATGTGTAACGGCCTCGTAAACTGCTATGTTATATAGTATTATAAATCATACATTGTCCAAACATATCAAACTTATACCAAAGAGTATAGTTGTCCTGCTGTGTCTCGGATACAGTAACTTGTAAAAGTGTATTTTATTATAGCACCGAGGGGAATCAAACCCTATTTTAGCATTGTAAGTCTGAAGAACCACTGACCCACCAGGGGACCTGTACAAGTTACTTACTTTAATTAATGTAAGGTCAGAGGAGGCTGTATACATGCTACCAACCATTAAGAGGTTAAAGATATTATTACTAGAACAACTCATAAACTACGAGCTATGCTAGAGCCAATATATTTCATAAACTTATGATCAGTTAAAACCTGTACAAACCTATCTAAACGTAGCGCACAAACAATCCCTAGTACATCAGCCATATTTTCTTCCATCAATTGCTGAATCCCTATACTCGTGGCAATGAAACATCCTGTCCTCCCAATTCCAGCACTGAAAATCAATCAAAAGGGGAGGTTTTAAACATACAAGTTATCATTTACAAATGATACATATATACTTTTCATAAAAAATGGTAAATATTAAAGGAGACTTTCATAAAAGATGGTGCTTTTCTGAGGATAAAATCAGACTGAAACCAGACTTTATATAATGAATACCCAAAATTTCAATACAACACAGTACGTGATTCAAGACAGTGGTACCAATCCCATCTAAAAACTATCAGCAACTAGGTGTTTCTAATATTTGTGTGTATCGGTGTAAAAAAAATGTGCTACAGACTGTGAAGCATTTGAACAATCGAGACAATAACTTCATTATCCAATCAGTCTTCAGATAAATTAGGATGCTCCAAATTTACAATATTTGTAAAAATTATTTTTATATTGTCTTCATTCATCATAAAGTAAAATAAAGAGTTAAGCCTACTTTTACTCAAAATTGTCAACAAACGAGATGACATGGCCTTTCACCTGTGACACGTCTCGAAAGGGTCAAACAAATTGCATTCTATGATTCTTAAAAATTCACTAATTTTTGTGTATGGGGTAATATGCAAACTTACACAAGCTGCAAACGAAGGGCTAATTTTCTAAAGAAATATTTAAAAAAATAAATGAATTTACCCTAGTATGAAAAATTGTGACATTTGCTCTTTACATAACCCCTCTTCTCTAATTTATTTGCATTCCTCCAAGAAATTTCAGGTAAATTACTCATTATAATGTTGTCATTGCTCAGGCAAAGCATTATTTTCAGCGCATTTAATCTTTAGTTACAGAGCTGTAAACTAGAAAATCAGAACCCTCTCTCCACATCTACCTGTCACATCCTCTCTTTCAGAAATTGTCAATAGTTCTTTCTGACATTTAATATTGTATCACATATAACCAAAAGAAAATCAAGGTTTTAATCTATCAATTGACATATTTTTGGGCAGTTTTCTGGGCAGACAATTGTCTATTTTGCTTCCAGTTTAAACTTTATTCCCAAGGGAAACCCATCAATGAGCTTAGCTGAACATTTAACAGCTCTTGTCACAGTTAAAAAGTCAGAAATAATGTGATAGTTAAAGGACATTGTCTACTTTTTGGATGTTATTATTCTGTGTTTTTAGTACATTATTTAAATATATATATATATATAGCATTATTTAGTGCAGTAGTTCCATTAGTATAAAAAAGGAGGATTAAGTTTCTTCGACAATCGACAGCAAAAAAAAAGACCCAGGTTAGTACTTTATTTCTTGTTTTTCATGTATATTCTTTATTGTTATAAAAGTAACTAAAATGTAAAAATTAGAATCTTTCTAGATTAGATAAGGTTAGTTACTTAAAATAAGGAATATAAATATATTTTCATGAAGTACACTCGTGAGCAATTCGGGAATAGCCTGTGCATTATGTAATTCAATTTGGTAACATGAGCTACACGTTTTCCAAGTGATTTACAAACTTTATGGCAGGAATATTAGCTAGACATGGTTCAAAGGGCAGCAAAACAATAACATTTAAGTATAAACGGATGTGTACTATTACATGCTTACAGCTATTTAAGTTAAAACAGATGTGTACTGTTACACGTTTACAGCTATTTAGGATAAACAAATATACTTGCATGTTACAATTTAAATTTATTTTTAGTAGTTACGAGGTCAGTCAAATTGACCAATCTCGTATCGAATTAGGGTAGAGAACAGATAAAATATATAGTTCTACTGAGAAAAAAAAAGTTTAAAATTGATTTAGCAGGTTTTAGAGATCACATAAATAAAATCTGAGATTTTTTCAGATGAAAAAAAGTATTTTTAATCTAAACATAAAAATCACTTCGCACCTGCAGCAGTCAATACTTTGTCTCTATAGCTTCATTTAAAATTTTTAGTAAAAACACTATACCAAAAATTCTGATTTTTCTCTCTACAAATGACTCTTAATGATTACTGAAAGCTTGCAAAATTTTATGAAGATACACCAAACACATTAGAAGTTATATTATGGAAAATATAAAGGTCAAATTTGGGTCACGATCTCAGCCGATTTGACCAAGCCCATAGCGTGAGAGTTAATACCACTGTTATAAATCTATGTGGGATTAACAAATGAAGAGTTTCACAAACTTCCAGACCTGCAATGTACAATGGTGGGTCCTTTGACATCTCCATTATTGTTGAATCGCAAAGCTTCCACTTCGAGAGCCATAGCTACTAGCTGTTTTGCCGTGCTGGGAGTTTTATGATCAGGCCAAGCTGTATACCAGAAATGTAGAACTTGGTGAGCTTCATCTCCACACTGTTAAAAACAAGATAAGATTAAGAAATGTAGAAAACACAAAATAATTATAGAATACAGACTTTAATAGAAAATATACAAACGTGCATGACACAGCTTTCTCGTGAAATTTCTAAAATCAGCATCCTTTTGGATCATCTACTGCACTCTAATTAATTTGTGCCACTACTTCAAGTGTATCATTACAAACAGTTATCGATATATATCACTAGAAGGAACATACAATCGTTTCTGAATAAGATGGTAAATGCACTTTATTACTGTTTGTTTTTAATTATGCTCTGCCCACCATGGGTATCGAAACCCGATTTCTAGCGTTGTAAGTCCGCAGACATACCGCTGTGCCACTGGGAGGCACTTTATTACTGATAATATGTATTACATTTTTAATGTATGAAAAAATATACATTTTATTTATTTCTGTAAATGTCACTTTGAGATGTGTGCATGTAATATGCAAGAAAAAAATTCAGAAAATATAACATTTACATCTGTCTCATATAAATACTATCTTTGATGTAGTGTTTCAAAATACATTTACTTTTAATGCATTTTTTTTTTTTACAACTGTTTATATATTTGAAGAATGATTTAGTTCTTCCACAACCTAACAATTAAAAATTCTTAGTTTTAGGGAATAATTCCAATAATAACATAATTACAAATAAAAATAGCTATTAATCCTAATAAACGTTCCTCCACTTGAAATGAAATATGTACTTTACCTTAAGGAACAGTTCCCTTATGGTATAGCCATCCCTGGGTATTACTTTGACAACCGAAACATTGACTATTCCATAAACCCCACTGTTTTCAGGAATGTACAATTCACATTTAACCTGGATTTGGAGAAACAATTATGTTTATATTAACAATTAACTTGTTGAAAGTTATAAATAAAATCATACTGGGTTCACATACAACTCATTAAAGCTGAAACTACAGTTATGTTTTGAACCATAATTAACTTACACGCACAATTATGACTTACCAGATTCAAACACTTTGAAATTATTAAACACTCGTTTGAAGATTAACTGCTCTCTTTTAACTTGTTGTAATTTGAAAGTTGGTTCATGTTGAACCTGTCATGAAGTTAAAGATACAATTTTAATTAAAAGGTAACAATTTTTCAGCTATATTTTATTATAGCTTAAAAAAAACCAACAATATATATGTTGAGTATGTTACTTCTCTATTTGGAAAATATTCCAGTTTAGAAAACTTGATAAAGAATGAATTAGATTTCAAATGAATAGTTTCTAACACCGAGAAAAATTATAAACTGACAACAGTACTACACCTTGTTGTTCTCCCGTAACTTTGTTATCATTACAATGATGGGAGACTTTTCTTGCCAAACCATCTTCCAAAAGTCATTAACAGTGTGGGCCATAGGTCCCTGAGTACCAATGAAGGCCTTTGGTTCACCATCATAACCCTATAGTGAAAAAATATTGAAAAATTCATAATTCATAAAATTTTAGAGACAAAAAGAAGCTTATTAGCCCATCAAGAATTTCCCTTCCAGCTCCCAACTATAACCACCCTTACTACTCATGTACCTATCAAATCATAAGCTCACCATAACAATCCTGTATGTGGAGAAACCTATCAAATCATAAGCTCACTGTAACAATCCTGTATGTGGAGAAATGTAACAAATCAATGAACCAATGAAGGCCTTTGGTTCACCATCATAACCCTATAGTGAAAAAATATTGAAAAATTCATAATTCATAAAATTTTAGAGACAAAAAGAAGCTTATTAGCCCATCAAGAATTTCCCTTCCAGCTCCCAACTATAACCACCCTTACTACTCATGTACCTATCAAATCATAAGCTCACCATAACAATCCTGTATGTGGAGAAACCTATCAAATCATAAGCT